TGATTAGTATGCAGCCCCCGCCCTTCTCTTTGGGACTACGTGGCCGTATGCCCCCCCCCCCTACGCTCACCTGCCCTGCACGTCCGTGCGGGTGAGCGTCTGAGCGAGGAAACACGTTCCACTACGGACCTGCACATCAGGTGAGCATAGGGGGCATACGACCGCGTAGTCCCATAGAGAAGGACGGGGGCTGTATACTAATCACATGCAGCACCTGTCCTTCCCGGGAGCTGCTCGATACAGAGCTGTACGTGCGGGCCGATTACAGTGTGAATGAGGCCTTACTCTATGAAAGCCAGCACAGACTATTGAAATGACATGTAGGGGCTGATTTATAAATTTGCCGCCCCGGTTTACATTGGGCGAATGCCATTCCCGCCACTAGATGGAACCCAAGTAGCATAGGAAATTCCTATGCTCCTCTTCTTTATCTAGGGGCGGGAATGCGGTGTGTACATCATTTGCCCAGCGTATGGCTGGCAGAAGATTTATGAGTACGTGATACATTCACACACAGATTTTTGTCTGCTCAAAAAGTATTCGCTTATTCACTTTATTGTATAAAAGCAGCAGTACAAAACAATAGAACTCCTTTTATTAACCAGCAGTGTTTCGAGGTAGGAGTTTGCTCCTAACTAGACTAAGGCCTAGACATTTCTTAAAACATTACTAGTTAACCCCTTCGTGACTGACGACGTACAGTGTACGTCGCCAGCATCGGGGCTGTTTAAACAGACTCCCGGCGACTTTTGCCGCCGGGACTCTGTTTAAACTTGTAGAGCCGACTGTCGGCTTTACAACAGAAGCGATCCTGGCGACTTACCTGTCGCCAGATCGCTTCTGTGTCCCGAAGAAGGGGCCGGACACCCCCGCCGGGGTCCGTTGCCCCTCCTACGGGCCCGGGACGGGCGATCTTGGTGTCCGCGGGGAGCTGGGGAGGAGGTCGACATACTAAAAACATTTTGGGGTATCTCTAAATTGATGACCTGTGGGGGCTTTTAAAGCGTCTTCTATTGACTTTTTGGGGCACTGCAGTTTTTCGCCGTTTCACGGACGCTCACAATTTGTAACCTATGCATGTTGGGTATCATTTTACTCGTTGTAACCTCATCTTTTATATGTCATTTAAAAAATTGGTATTTTGTTGTCTTTTGGGGCATTAAATTAAATTTTTGACTAAATGTTGGGGTTTAATAAGGAGTTGCGCTAATATTGCGCAACATAAAAATTTGCAACTACCACTATTTTAGTCTATAGGGTCTTGGCATTCAGAAAATATATAATGTTGGGGGGTTTTAAGTCATTTTCAGGCCTAAAATGTGGAATATAACATGGGTGCAAAAAATGAAAAAAGGGCCTCAGTCATGAAGGGGTTAAAGGAGTTTTTTTTTTGTTTTGTACTGCTGCGTTTATGCAATAAGGGGAAAGAGCTAATACTTTTTAAATGGACAAAGACCTGTGTGTAGATGTTTTATGTCTTGGCATGTCTGAGGTTCACTGTGCTGCTGAAGGGGGTTTCATGCTGGCACCAGGGAGCTGATAAGATGTGTTCTCCTGGTACACAAGTGTATTTAAATGACTTGTCATGAAGTAAATGGTAGCATGTCATTGCTGGCTTCCAGAAATAGCTAGCTGCCTGGCTTCAGCACTTTTAAGTCACTCATCTGGAAAGTGTATGCATGAATTGAAAGTCAAAAGAAGGTCACAATTCCTGATCTCTGTACTTGTTTGTATCCAGCGAGCCAGTATTGGAGCCAAGTAGCAACTTAGGAGACAGAAACTAGAATTTTGTTAGGAAGAAGAATGGCAGCATGCATATTGCCCATGGCAGGAATCCTTTACAGAATAAGTGCGCTTTTAGAGAAAGTCCACCTTCTCTTTTTGCCCCCTTGCCTTACCTCTGCAAATCTATACTTAGAGTTTTGAGGGCTACTGCTCAGCTGTTTGTTGATATCCAGAGCTGCAAGTCTTTCTTTCCTGACCACATCCATCTCCCTGCTGGCCACAAAGGAGACTTTTTTTTTTGTGTTCATTCTGTGTAAAGCCCTTCCATGTGCTCCTTACATTTAAAAGCTAGTTAAAAATTGATTGGTGCGGTTGCCATTTTGTTCAGCTTGGTAGATTTGCACTCATGCTGTCATTTTACTTAATAAATTGTTCTAAATGATATTGAGATGATTTATTATTGACCTTTGCAGAAACTGCGGGCAGAGCTTCAATATATTATCTCCAAGAAGAACTGTAACCATCCCATGATAGCAAGCTTTTCCTTGAGCACCATCAAGCAGAAGGCGTACAAAATGTTTGAGGAATCGATTAAGCAGACTCCATGCTTCCTGATGACCGTACGTAGGCATTGACTTAATGAGTGCCTGTCAACATAATCATTGTTTGATTTTAGAGAAAATAGAGCTATCTTTTGGTGCCATAAATGAAAGCTCAAATTCAAGGAGAAAAATCTAGTTCTGTATTTTTACATGTGGGACAGGGCCCTCCTTACCTTCTTGTCTTGTAATGTATTGTAATGTCTTCCTTATATTGTAAAGCGCTGCGCAAACTGTTGGCGCTATATAAAAGCTGTATAATAATTATAATATGGCAAGCAATAGTCTCTGACTTTCTTGGTGTCAGCCTCCTGTAGTCCCCTGCATTCACACTGGGAGGGAGAAAGAGGTGTAGCCCTTTAAGACAGGGCTTTGTTGCCATGTGCAATCTAAGCCCTCGTTCACACCTGAACGTTTTGTAGCGCGTTCTACGCTCGACGAACGCTCTACAAAACACTCAAAAATATAAATCCCATTGTATTCAATGGTCTCGTTCCCACCTTGGCGTATTTCCGCCCGTCCCTAACGCGCTACAAAATGGCCCACGCCTGAAAAGGTACAGGTACTACTTTGGGCCGTTTTGTTGCGCGTTTCCATCGGGATACAGCCAAGTAGCCTTCGGAAACGCGCGTTTGTTGCGCGACTTTTTTACCGCGAATCGCGGTATAAAACGCGCGACGGTCGCGCTACAGATGCGCATATGCAATACGCCTAGGTGTGAACGAGACCTAACTCAAGGGGTTTCATGTGAGGGAGAGGAAGCAGAGTGATGATCTTATCTGCCTGCTGCTTTGCATTCATTGTCTAATCACAGGCTGGGCTGAGTCAAAGAGCAAGCCATATTGTTCAGTTCTAGTATATTTTGCAGATAGGTTTATAGGAGTGTACAACCTTGCCGTACTTTCTGACACGGGAACCTGTATCACTGGTTTAAAACGGTTATTGATCAAGCAGGTAGGAAAATTACTGGTTCAACACGATTACAAATTCTTGGCAGGTAAGCAAGTTTACATGTATGTGTAGATATATGTTCAACTGTGTATTTAGCTGCTTAGTCTGATTTCAGTGCACAGCGTGAGCTCCTCGCTTACTGTTGTGTCACAGGACAGGAAGTGAGGTGAAACTTCCCTAAGTGGGGCACAGTTCTGACAGTGGTTTCAACCAATCCCTATGCTGTCCAAAATATGTTTATAAAGCTTTGGCTATAGATGCAATGTAACTCACTCCTTCTGATCATGTTTTATGCTGCACCCATATTCAGGGTTTAACATGGTCATCCTTAGCCCCCATTTACCTGAATTGTTCTCGCTGCAGCATCCAGGCATCTTTTGAAATTGGCGTTGCTCCATCTGTACAGTCCATAATAGAAGTCACCAGCAATCGATAATAGGTGCAAGAAGTAAAGCACTTTTTATTAAATTGTCACATGCGTCATACAGCCTATGTTTCGGGGCCACGCAGGGTCCCTACTTCTGGGCGACCTAGTGAGGGGACCCTGCATGGCCCCCGAAACGTTGGCTGTATGACGCATGTGACAATTTAATAAAAAGTGCTTTTCTTCTTGCACATATTATCGAGTGCTGGTGACTTCTGTTATGGACTGTATCTGATACGGCGCCATCCGTGTTGTCACTTCAAGTACCAACCTTCCATCAAGGTTTGTATGCTGTATGGAGTGCAGGTGATTTCGTATTATCGCTCCACCTGTACAGTCACTTCAAGTGTCATTTTACATAGGAATAGCTGCATTTTGTTAGCCACTCCTGCAATGTAATACAAAGCAATTAGCGTCTCAGCCGGTAATTGTCGGTAATAGTGACAGAAGAAGCAGTCTATGGGGAGGGAAACTTGGACATAAGGAATGCGTCTTAAAATAGTTTTTTTTATCTTGTATGTTAAAAAATCCTCAAGTGGTTAACAATGTTTCTTTTTGTTTTAAGCTTGCTCAGAAAGATAACCCCGAGATAAATGCAAAGCCTGCAGAACCCAGTGTTTCAGAAGCAGAAGCCCGGCATGATGTGGAAGAGCCTCCCACTAAGGATATCCCAAGTTCATCAGATATGGATCTCGCAAATCCCCGGCAGGAAAAAGACTTGCAGACACCAACTGAAGTAAGGTGGGTAGAGTATGTCAACTATTGCAGAAAGTGACTCTGATACAGCCAATAAAAACAAAACAAAAAGCTATTACTTGTGTGTCCTATTGCTCATGCCGATCTTCATCCTGTTGCAGAGAATGTTCTGCCTCCGGTACTTACAGAGGTGTCAGATGCCTGGTCCCCCTTTGTTCTCTGTGGTTCCATTCACCGAACCCTACATCACTACCAGACACAGTATTGACATAGGGACTGGCAGGAGGAACCACAGATAAGGGGTTCCAGGTGTCCAGTGGGATCCGGACATGGACTGCACAAGAATTTCAGTGTTACAGGTGGCCCCATGGACCTAAAGTCATTTCTTAGGTCTGCTATAAGAAGTCACTGGTCTTTTTTTCTAGGTACTAACCTTGGGTAAACAATCATCCGTTTCTTCTGCCTTCAGGTCAGAAATAGACCGTGGCCCGGTTTATAGCCTTTCTGCCATTAAATCCACATGGCGATCACTATGTGAAGACCGGGACCCAGAGGCTAAATTCAGGGAACTTTGCGACTCGTCTTTCTGTAAACAAGCCAGCACTACTCAAACTGTCTCTGTCGAAACACCCAACAGTAAGAGGCCTCCTGCTTGCACCCCTAGGGAGGATTTGCCGTCTTCAGGAGAACCTGGACAGCTTGGTCCTTCACCTGCCATATCTCTTCACCAGCTGGTCATGGAGCCCGATAGTCAGCAGGACAATGAGATTGAAGAAGAGAGACCAAGCAAAGCTTCTACTCCAGAAGAGAAAAGTGCTAACTCAACTGTGCGAAGATTGTTCAATTCACCTCCTGTAAACAAGAAACGAAAACAGTAAGTAACCTTTTAAGCCCATCTCTGGGATAAATTGAACCCCCCTCTCACCCACAAAAACAGCAAAAAAAAGAAATCCCTAGCTAAAGGAAGCGGTGCCATTGACTTCAATGCACCGCCCCAGAACGCAGGGGGAAGATCGTGGTGCGTTCCAGCGGCTACCGCTCTGGAACGCACCGCTTTCAGTGTGAACAAGCCCTGATACTGGACAGTAAAAGGAGAAACAGCAAACCGATGGAGATGAGGGGGAGGGAGTTGTTCTGTAGCCCAGCAGGGCTAAAAAAAATTAGTTTGGAGTCACCATGCTGTCAGCCCACAAAGGAAATTACAAGCACACAAGTAAATGTACATACGTTGCAGTGTTTTCTCAAAAAGAACATCTTAGCTTATGGAGATGAGGAGAGGGAGATGCTCTCTAGCCCTAACAAACTTCCTGTCCTGGGGTGACAATGCTGCTCCTTCATAGGTACAGTGAGCAAATGTTGGTCCTGCCAGTAAGTAGGTTACCAGCAAGATCACCAGGTAACCTTTTTTCCAAAAGTAATTTGAAACTAAGGGACATTTTGTATTCATAAAGCAGTGAATCTGATGTTTAGCAACCTTTCTCTGCATGAGAATCTTCCAGGTCCATGTGTTTTTAAATGACAGTGACAGTGATTACTAAAGTCACATTTACTGCTTTTTAAATGGACCCCTATATACAGTTATGTCTTGTGGTGTCTTCAGAAGACTGTGGAGCTGAGTGGATGGCGATATCCGTTCTCAGTTATCCACTGGGGTGCTGCCCTATGGAGCCTGCAATGCCCCATCACGTTCTCTCTGCCTAATGGAGCAGAGAAACCTCTGTGATTGGAAGACAGCTGACACGTGACTCATCTTTTATTTTGCCTGAAGGTGCCCATACACTGTACGAGAATCTCGGGAAATCCCGCGATCGTACGAGAACCGCGCAGTGTGAATGAAGACGTGCGACCGTTTCTACTGTACGGTCGAACTTCTGTCTAAGGAGCATGCTAGAAAACCAGCCGAAAATCTTACAATTTGCGGCTGGTTTGAACAGTGCTCGGAAGACAAATGCCGAACCGGCCGGTGTGCGCACGCGCACACTGCCCGTTCAGCATTGCAGTCATCGGAAGCCTGCCCCTCGGGGGCGGGCTTGCGATGATCGCAAGTACGATCTGCCTGTCCAAAATGGGCAGATCGTACGTTTTTTAAAATTACTTTACAACTATCGCAAGACTAAGGTCTTGCGATGGTTGTAAAGTGTATGGCTTGACTTCCATTTTGGCTTCCAAAGCCATCAGAGTGCACTGCACATATGTAAAGTATACCACCGTTCTTAATAAATGTTCGGAGACAATATCGCTGCACTTTAGATGAACCCCTGAGACACCGCATGTTACTGTTGCGTGTTTTCTGAAAACGTTTTGTTCATGCTAACTGCCAACAATTAAACCTGTTGTCTCCATAGTAATGCTTCAAACAAGTCCAACACAGAAGAGCAAGACACATGGAGTGAGGAGGATGAACTGTTCAGAGCAAGAAGTAAGTTTAGTGCTGTTTACAGCAGGAGCGCAACATTTTATCCCAATGGGCCAAGATCCTAATACAGTTTTAGGATTCTATGACATGTAGCAGTAGGATATACTGTAGTTCCATGGGTCTCAACTGGTGAGTCGCCACCCAAAAGTGGGTCGCTGCATGCCTTCCACTGCGCTAGGTGAGAAGCTCCTCAGGCTCCCACTAGCGCAGCAATGTCAGTCCTCGTTCCGAGCAGCCATTTAAAATATGCTGCCTGGGGCTGAGTGTCAGCTTGAGGTGGGGTGGTCTGGGGGTATGGCCGTGTGGGAGCTCCATCCATACGTGCATTGCTTACTGCTCCCTCGCGTGTCTTGTAGAGGTGCCTGAACCGGAGTGATGTCACATTCTGGCTCCTGACACCACTACAGGGCGAGCAAGGGAACTGTACAAGCAATGCACATATGGATGTGCAGCACATCAGTCACAGCACAAAAGCCCGCCCTGGATCCCAGGCTGAGGATCCACTCCAGTTCTCGTAAGATAGAGACCGGGTGGTTTAAAAAAACATAACTTTTTTTTTTTTTGGTATGTGGATGTGACAATGTGTCTGTTGTTATGTGTGTCTGTCTGTCAGTGTTTTTGAGGGCTCACTCACACTAGTACATTGTGTTAATCACACACTTTAATGCGTTTGATGCACTGCCCCACGCAATCGCACCTACCACGCATTTTGGTGCAGAAGGTCCCTTGCTTTGCCATTCATAGAATGGCACCCCAAACGTACGACAATCCGATCGCCCGCACTGGAACGTGCGATACTGCAATGCCCTGCGTTCCTGTGAGGTGCGGCTTGGTTTGCAACTTAACCAAGGACAAATGTGGGCCTTGAGGTTACACAGGTTGAGAACCACTGCTGTAGTTGACTGATACTGAATTGTCAATCTTGGTTAAATGCTGTTTTAGTTTCCCTCCAGGTGTGCAGCGCGTAACCCACCCCAAGAGATGAAGATGTACTATTATAACACTTTAGCAGTGGAAGTTCAGATGGCTATAAATGCCTGTTCTCAACTGGTTCTCTTTAATCAGATCTTTATAACACTTTAAGATTTGGACAATTGGGAATAGGTTGTACTATTCGAGAAAGCAAATCTGGTATACTTCGGATTTCTAATTCTGCACCCCTCTGTTGTGTGCTATGTTACTTGTCCCTCCTCATTGGTCATATGGTGTCTGGCAAAGGCCCTTGGGGTATTCCTGTTCAGGCAAAGGTGGCCAACCTGAACACTTGCCCATCTCTATAGCAGAGACCATACAATTCAAAAAATGATTGTCCCCTGTAAATAGAAATCCCTAAGGTGGAGATGGTCTAGTAAACAAATAACAATTATATATAATGTATATCAAAATTTAATGATAGAAAAATAGACACTTACATGTAAGAACACCTAAAACAAAACATCTAAAAACAATTAAAATTGCTTCCCTAGGGTCACCCTGGTGCAGTGATACGGGTGTTCAATCTGTGGGTCTCCTAAATGGCAGGAAGTGCCTTTTATACATTGTACTACAAGTGCCATCACTGGTCTTGCCGAACCATAACCGCTCAGATACTGTTGACTATTCTGCTGCTAATGTTCACTGGCCTATTGGCCTATAGTCTATTGCCTTACACATGTACTTTCTGTATTTTGTCAAAACCCCATGTTTATGTTTATTTTTGTTAAGGTGAACTTGTTACTTTGCCTTTTTGTACTAAACTCTTAAACTTGAATAAACTCAGATTGAACTAAATGGCAGGAAGTCTCTGGTGCAGACACGATAGTTGTATATCAAAAATAGAAACAAAGTATCGGAACTGTACTCACATTGCGTGTGACTCGAGAGGGGGGGCAGCGTGTGCTTAAGCTTCCCAGGACACCCGCCATTGACCTCTCACATGATCGGGTGAGAACGAAAAACTTCTACTGCTTCCGAGTCCAAGTGACGGAGCAAAGCCGGTGCGGACACTGCTTGAACACAGCAGCAGCAGAATTTATTTGAATGCAGCTGAGACCGAGGGAAGCGGGCGAGCCTCTGTCAGTGTGAACGCACACAGCTTTCCATTCTTGCCGTGTCACCGGACACACCGCCGTGGGGATTCCACCGCAATTCACCCCAGAGTGCGGCCGCACTTGTGAAATATTCCATGGAGTTGTTCCTTTGATTTGGAACTAAATCCCGCAGATTGGTGTGAGTCCTAACAGGCTGGGGGAGAGGCATCCACTGAGCCTCCGGATCCACGAATGAATCAGATTCCTTGGAATTAAATTGCCATACACGTATACATTTTGTTGAAAAAACTACATGCATGTATCACTGCAGGATCTAATCAGGACTGTCCCCCCTCTCGAGTCACACGCAATGTGAGTACAGTTCCGATACTTTGTTTCTATTTTTGATATACAACTATCGTGTCTGCACCAGAGACTTCCTGCCATTTAGGAGACCCACAGATTGAACACCCGTATCACTGCACCAGGGTGACCCTAGGGAAGCAATTTTAATTGTTTTTAGATGTTTTGTTTTGTTATAGGTGTTCTTACATGTAAGTGTCTATTTTTCTATCATTTAATTTTGATATACATTATATATAATTGTATTTGTTTACTAGACCATCTCCACCTTAGGGATTTCTATTTACAGGGGACAGTCATTTTTTGAATAGTCTATTGAAACACTGGAGTTTGGTCAAATACTACTGTTTCACCTAGCGTAAACTCCTTTTGTTCCCCTTTTTCTCAGAGACCATACAACCAATAACTTGGACATCCATCAGCATTTTCACTGCTCCAGTAGATTCAAAAAAAGGGTAGGGGGGCCGAAATTTAGACAAGAAATGTATAAAAATCTGTCCGAGTGGGGCAAATGCCTTCAGAAGGCTTGTTCAGTATAATGGCTTCTGTCAGGGTGATACCATTTTAGCTAATAGAAATGTTCTCATATTTCACAGATCAGAAAGCTGCAAAGGCCGACAACACAACCACCAATGGAATTAGAAAACAGGTAAGTCCAACTGTAAGTAGTCTCACTACAGGAACCTCATTTCCTGGCTGGAGGATGTCCAGCATCATCTAGGGCAGGGGTAGCCAAACTCGGGCCCTCCAGCTGTGGTGAAACTACAAATCCCATGATGCATCTCTCTCTGGGAGTCATGTCTGTGGCTGTGAGAATCTTGCAATGCCTCATGGGATTTGTAGTTCCACCACAGCTGGAGGGCCGGAGTTTGGCTACCCCTGATCTAGTGCTTTACTCCCTAGTCTAAATGTCTTTGGCTCCCCCCAGCTATTCATTGGATTTCAGTCCTTTTAAATTATGGAGGCTCAGCACCACATGTGCAAATATATAGCATGCCTAGGAACACCCGCTCCCCCAGACTGACATCCAACCCTCAATGCATTTTGATATTTTCATGACCCCTTACAAGAGCCAGCCTACTTTTTGCATCAGGGCTGAGGGCTCCTCAGAGGAGTACGGAGGCAGAGTGCTGTAATGTTTTCAGGAACTATGGGCAGCACCCTGCCAGCCCCTCCCACCAGCTACGATCTGCCTGCATTGCAAAGAGAAGCAATGACATCACGGGATCTGGAAAAAAAAAAGGTAATTCATGAGAATGAAACGGTTTTATTTAAAAATGTCATTATGATGTTGATGAGGGGGGGAAAGGAGGAACAAGGGAAGGCAAAATATTAGCTAATTTTAAAACTTTTGTTGTCTTTCAGAAATGGACTGTAGAGGAAACGGAGTGGATCAAACTCGGAGTAAAGGAAGTGGGTGAAGGCAACTGGGCGAAAATCCTCAAAAGATTCCCTTTCCATAACCGGACTAGTGTCATGATCAAGGACAGATGGCGGACGATGAAAAAACTCTCCCTTGTGTGATACACTCCAGCCAAAGCCCAATCCCTACTTCTCCTTTTATGGTGTCATTTTGTAAACAAGGAAAGAACTCCAGAGATTGCAGATTTCAGCCAGACAGATTTCCACTTCCCTTCTCCCTTTCTGATTGGTCCGTAGGAGCAACTGCTTCAATTTTCACTTTGTATAGCATATCCTCTCCTATGTGATTGGAGGCTCCTGTGTGCTGGACACACACATACTGGTGGGTCATTCTTCAGTCCATTCTATGTCTACAGTTCAGTATACACATCTGTACATTGTTTGTAATCCGTCAGATGATTTTTTTCTGATTTACGTATCTGGTCTGTCAAGACATGACTACAAAATATGATAGATCAATACTAACCCTACATCAGATGAAAGGGAGAACTCCGTTATCCCCATGACCAAGCTTTGTATGTTGTGCCAAAATTGGGCCTAGCAAGGCAGTTTGGTTCGCAATATGGAAGCCGCTATTCCTTTTTAGGGTGCTCGTTGCAGAGCTTTCATCCTCATACTTACTGCGTGCGTTACTGACCCGAAAGAAGAATGAGTATATTGGGTAAACCCAAACCTAATATGGACATTTTTGTTCAGTGCTTTGCCAGGTATTGCAGGAAGGATAAAGATAAATGCCCGGGGCAATGCGCTATACAGGATGAAGCTGGCTACACACGTATAGTTCTCTCAATTCCCCCATCTAAATGGGATGCATGGAGGACTTTCCCCTGCCCGCTATTTTATTCCGAGAGCCGGGGCTTGCAGCTATCAGAATACCTGAACAATGAGTGTAGCTGATTGGCTCCTTCAATTTTTTTGCACTCAGTTTGATGAGGTGGGTGGATGGGGGCCACTGAAACAAAATTCTAATGGTAGATGGCCACCTTCCATACTTTTAACCTGACAGGTTGCCTTTAAGGTCATTGATGAAACTGCCCGCTGTGTAATTGGTAAAAGAAATCCTTTTTATTAACAGAAATATTTTTTTTTTGGTTTCCTTTGTTCTCTAACTTAATTGTTCCATTTATTGTCTTGTACATTTTTTATACAGAAGTTTGTGTCATTTGTATATTAATCAATAAACTGCAGGAGTTTATTGTAGATGTGTGTGACCATTGGCTTGTGCAGTGTCTATGGCCGGGTTTATGGGGGTCAGGGTGCGGTTTTATACCTGCAAGTTCTTTCTTTTGTCTGAATTTGCTCTAATTTTTAAATCTACAGTAAACTTCCAGTTATCTGGCACCCTTTGGGATCGGTAGGTGCCGGATAACTGTAGTTTCTGGTTGCATCAGAGTTAATAGTAACGCTTAAAGTGACATTAAACCCTCAGATTTTTTAACATAAACCAATACTGTAATGTGTGCCTTACTGTAATCCATGGTTGTTTCCCTTCTCTTTGCTGCTCTTCCTTTTAAATCATCATGTCTTCTCATGCTGGGGGAGAACTTCCCTTTGCAGCTGAGTGCCTCTTCCTGTAGTGCTGGCTCAGGTTGCAAACCTATATACAGACACACCGGGTTTATGGGGGTCAGGGTGCGGTTTTATACCTGCAAGTTCTTTCTTTTGTCTGAATTTGCTCTAATTTTTAAATCTACAGTAAACTTCCAGTTATCTGGCACCCTTTGGGATCGGTAGGTGCCGGATAACTGTAGTTTCTGGTTGCATCAGAGTTAATAGTAACGCTTAAAGTGACATTAAACCCTCAGATTTTTTAACATAAACCAATACTGTAATGTGTGCCTTACTGTAATCCATGGTTGTTTCCCTTCTCTTTGCTGCTCTTCCTTTTAAATCATCATGTCTTCTCATGCTGGGGGAGAACTTCCCTTTGCAGCTGAGTGCCTCTTCCTGTAGTGCTGGCTCAGGTTGCAAACCTATATACAGACACCATGTATCCATTCCATAGACAAGGCAGTCTGCTGCAAAACAGAAGTTCTGCCCAGCATGAGAACAGATACAGATTTAAAAGGAAGAGCAGCAAAGAGAAGGGAAACTACCATGGATTACAGTAAGGCACACATTACAGTATTGGTTTATGTTAAAAAATTTGAGGGTTTAATGTCACTTTAAGCAACCACCACCCATTTTATATCATCTATTTATTTTTCACTGGTTGCTTGAATGCCGGATAATTGCTGTAATTACCGACCAGCCATAACATTAAGTCCACTGAGAGGTGAAGTGGATCACACTAATTATCTCTTCACAATGGCACCTGGAAGTGGGTGGGATGTATTAGGCAACAAGTGAACATTTTGTCCCTGACACCCCATTCACACTGAGCGACATGGATATTGCGCGTTTTTCTGCGCGATTTCGTGCTGAGCGGCTATGAGCTACATTGTGCGATATTGAGCGACATTGCACATTTTTATCGTGCTGCGTAGAGCATATTTTGGGCGGGACTTGGTTACTGCACATTGGGCTGTAACCAATCAACAGCGATCATGATGAGACATAATTCTTTCCTTCCATTTTGCAGTGCAAAAGTGACCCTTCTGTAGCGCGATTTTGCGCGACACCATTGAGTATATTGGGGTCGAATCGTGCGACATCCGCGGAAAAAGGGTCATGTACGAGTGACAAGCTTGAGCGATGAGCTACAGGCGACATTGAGATGTGAACAGCTCCATGGAAATGCATTGGACAAGCTACATAGAGCGTTATCGCGCGGAAATATGCGCGATTTTGTGGTGGAAATCGGCCGATAAACCGCTCAGTGTGAACGTGGCCTGAAGTTGATGTGTTTGGAAGCAAAAAAAGAAAATGGACAAGTGTAAGGAATTTGAGTGACCTTTGGCAAGAGCCAATTGTGATGGCCAGATGACTGGGTCAGACCTTCAAAACTGCCACTCTTGTGGGATGTTCCCAGTCTTCAGTGGTCAGGACCAACCAAAAGTGGTCCAAGGAAGGAAAACCGGTGAACTGGTCATGGGCGGCCAAGACACATTGATGTATGTGGGGAGTGAAGGTTGGCCGTGTAGTCCGATCCAATAGAAGAGCTGCTGGAGCTCAAATTGCTGAAAAAGCTAATGCTGGTTCCAACAGAAAGATGTCTGAACACAAAGCGAATCGCAGTTTGTTGTGTATGGGGATGTGTAGCCGCAGAGAGGCCAGGGTGCTCGTGCTGTCCTGTGTTCACCGCCAAAAGTACCTACAATGGGTACGTGAGCATCAGAACTTGACCACAGAGCAATGGAAGTAGGTGATGAATCGTATTTTCTTTACATCATGTGGATGGCCGGGTGGGTGTGTTGCTTACCTGGGGAAGAGATGGAGCCAGGATGCACTATGGGAAGAAGACAAGCTGGCAGAGGCAGTGTGATGCTTTGGGCAATCTTGGTCCTGCCATTCATGTGGATGTTACTTTGACACGTACCACTGACCTAAACATTGTTCCTGACCAAGTACACCCCTTCATGGAAACAGTATTCCCTGATGGCAGTGGCCTCTTTCAGCAGGATAATGTGCCCTGCCAGACTGCAAAAAATGGTTCAAGAATGGTTTGAAGAACACAACAAATTTGAGGTGTTGACTTGCCCTCCAAATTCTCCAGATCTCAATCCAATGGAGCATCTGTGGGATGTGCTGGAAAAACAAGTCGGATCTATGGAGGCCGCACCTCACAACATACAAGACTTAAAGGACCTGCTACTGAGGACGGCTTGGTACCAGATATCACAGCACACCTTCAGAGGTCTAGTGAAGTCCATGCCTTGACAGGTCATATACCACAACATACCTTCAGAGGTCTAATGGAGTCCATGCCTCGACGGGTCAAGAAAAGGGGGACCTACTCAATAGGCAGGTGGTCATGTTATGGCTGATCGGTGTATAATCCAGGTCTGGTAGATGTATCAGGCTACTGATTGGGACTAAAGCCTGCCTTTCTTGTAGTTTGACTACCGCTGCCCAGAGGAACCGTTGTAATAATTTTAAGGTGTTTGGGAACCCCGGCTTTAAACTATCATAGTTCTCGTATACTATGCAAAGGAGATTGCTCCCTGTTTTGCTCCATAGAGCATGATGTAACAGTGAGATCCATCACACAAGCACACACCTTACATCCCAGCATCCATGCCAATAAAATTCCCCCACCAATACACACAGCTCAATAAAAATTTTCACACTAACCGTGTATGTGCATTGATCTTTTCGAGAATGAAGGACACACTGGGCATGCACAGGAATATGTCACCTGCTAATAAAATGGCAATTTCTAATGGGGGGATGCTTTTGAGGACTTACAAGGATATACAATGCATGCTTCACCTTAATATGGTGGGAATTTTCCATGCAGAGTTGATGTTATTAGCCCTAACTGACTGACCCTTCTATATTTATAATGGAGACGAGTTAACCCTCTTTATCTCGTTATGTGCTCTCTGTTAAGATGGCCATACACTTTACAACCATCGCAAGACCTTAGTCTTGCGATGGTTGTAAAGTAATTTAAAAAACGTACAATCTGCCCATCTTGGACAGGCAGATTGTACTTGCGATCATCGCAAGCCCGCCCCCCTGTGGGGCGGGCTTCCGATGACCGCAATGCTGAACGGGCAGTGTGCGCACCAGCCCGTTTGGCATTTGTCTCCCGAGCATCATTCAAACCAGCCGAAAATCGTAAGATTTTCGGCTGGTTTTCTAGCATGCTCCTTAGACAAAAGATGTGCGACCGTACAGTAGAAACGGTCGCACGTCTTCATTCACACTGCACGATTCTCGTACGATCGCGGGATTTCCCGCAATTCTCGTAGGAGAATCGTGCAGTGTATGGGCACCTTTATACTCCACTTGGTTACAGCCCACATTTTACAGCCCATTGATGTGGGTTGCATTGTGGATATGGCCGAGCTCCAAGGCGTTCTCTCCGTTTATTGCAGCAGAAAGAACTCTGTGACTAGAGGAGAGGCGGTCATGTGACTGACAGGTTATGTGACGGGCTCTCCTGGCTTTCATTAGTGCTGCAGTCCACCAACTTCAAAATCCCAAATGAAGCAGAGCCCAAAGCACACTGCTGTGCGGTGTGACCCCTTGGTTTGCTAAGCACCCTCTGTATCATATACAACTGCAATTTTTTTGGTTGCTTTTCAATGCTGCTGCAACACCCTGCAGCCTTTTTACAGCCACTTCCTATCTACATGCACTCCAGTAATGGCTTCATGGCTTTTTCTGGGTTTCCTGATGGTTAACAGTGGGCTGTGGCTGTGTGATGTGTGTTTAAAACCACTTGTAGCCTCCATTAGCAGTATAACAGGGTGATACCATCTTGTCTTGAATTGTATTGTAATGTCTTCCCTATATTGTAAAGCGCTGCGCAAACTGTTGGCACTATATAAATCCTGTATAATAATAACGTAGAAAAACAATTAGGAAAGAGCGTTGTCGGCATCTAATAGGAAGTGCCTGTACAAGAACCTTTCATGGCAGGATTACCAGGTATTATTTTAATTAAATCTGCACAACTTAAATATTGAAGATGAGTTTTGAATATTAGAATATTAAGGCTTTTGTGAAATTTTCCTGCATGTGTTCACATATTCTTTAAAGTGTTGTCCAGCTTCTCACAGCTCTGACCATCCTCTTTGCCGAGTCTTGGCTGGAGCTGCCCCTCTCGGAGAGGGCCAGGTTAATCATTGCTGAGGTGGCTCTGGGATCCAGCAGTCATTCTCTCCCTCTGCCTGCACACATCATGCTCCTTACAGCCTTCCTCCTCCTGTCCCTTTTCCTCCAAGGCTTACCACAGAAGACCGAGCCTCTGAGCAGTGACAAATCCCAGCCCTTATTCCGAGGATCTGACCGCTATGACTTCGCCATCTTGGTGGGACCAGCTGGGTCAGAATGCTTTTATCACTTTGCCCATCAAAACTCCTATTTCTACTTTGGCTATGAGGTAAGCGATTTTATCTTTATCAGTTTATATGTTATTTTGATCCAGGCAGTTATGTCTACACATGGTGGGACCAAATACCCTATAACCAGATGTGCTTTCCCATTGGTGCTTGTCCTCTTTTCCACGATCCCAAGGTCTTTGTCCAAATTAAGAAAATGCCTATTAGTCCTTACAGTTACACTCTTTGGCAAGATACTTGTGCCCTGTCACTGGCCACGTGGGCAAGTGTTCTAAACGACATTGTGCTTATGGAGCCCCTGGGTCACAATAGATCCACCTTGGTCCAATGCACATGGTCTTACTGGATAGTCCATTGAGGTAAGTGAATGTCTATTCCAGTTTATATGCGATTATGCACCAGGCAGTTATCGCCACACATGGTGGGACCATATAACCGGACCATATAACCAGATGTGCTTTCTCACTGGTGCTTGTCCTCCTATCCATTATCCCAAGGTATTTGTCCAAACTGAGACACTGCCTGTTAGCCGCTAGAGTTACACTTTTTGGCAAGATACTTGTGCCCTGTTACAGGCCAAGTGGGCACGTGTTCTAAACGACATCATGCACATGGAGTCTTTTATGGAGACTTCATGGAGTCAGACTTTAGTAATCACCAGGGATCGTGCCTCTTCGCCTCCTCCCCTGCAAAAAGGTAAGCAGGAGAGAGGGCTTTGTATTTTATTTTATATGTGGGTGTGCAAGGGGGGATTTATTATTTTATACGTGCAGGGGTAAACGGCAGCTGCATGTAAGGGCCTGCACACCGCATGTAATGGTATGTGATATGATTTCACTTGGTTAGTGATTTCCCTGGACGCAATGATTGTGCATCCAGGGAGAGTATTATCTAACCGCATGTGGCGTGCAGGCATTTACATGCAGCTCCTGTCACCTGATCATTAACTTGAATGGGTGTCAGCTGCCGCTTGTAAACGCCAGATTAGGCATTCCTGCTGCAGGAAAAAGCAAGTTCCCTAATTCCACCTAAGCTTATAGATACGAAAGGGGCCTTATTGTGTGTGTTGGTGTCCGTAGTACCATATCGGATATAATTACATTTTATTTTGAAGTATAAAATATGGCAAGCGGCCCACCATGAGAGAAAAAAAGATGGTTGCGTGAATTGAGTTTGAGACCCCTGCCTTTGAACAATTACTTTGTGCACTCCATAAATCAGGTGTTGCGTGTGCCAAATATTTGGTGCACCATCAATAATTTATTGTGCCTGTTGTGTTAATGTTGCAATGTTTCAAGCTTCCCCAAGCATGTACCGTATTTGCCGGCGTTTAAGACGAGTTTTCAGATTTCAAAACATCCCCCGAAAATCTGGGGTCGTCTTATACGCCGGGTATGTGCGCTAATACTGTATGTACGGTAGCTTCGGCTACATACAGTATACCGCGCTGAGCCAATCACGGCGAGCGATGTCTTCTATTAATGAATACAAAGCCTGCTCGGATTGGCAGAGGTGTACATTGCGACGAGTGTCTTATACAACGAGTATAGCCCAAAACCTATGTTTTAACACAGAAATTAGGGGGTCGTCTCATACGCCCGGTCGCCTTATACGGCGACAAATACGGTAGCTTTCATCAGCCTTCAAATTAGATTTCTGTGATATGAAACTTCTAGGGCAAGTGGTCTGGAGCTGTATAGAAACCTTTTATGTTGAAGCTTGTGCTGACGATATGACTGGAAACACAACATCTGCTGCCAACCCAAAGTTTTCTCAACGGCTCCTTATCACCTGCAGCAAGGTGACCTCCTCCTCCAACCAGAGACAGCTGTTACTTTCCACACAGAGAAAGGATACAGGCTCTGACTAAGTTCATTTAAGATAATGTACAAGGTGTTTCTTTATATAGTCCGGACTAAAAACTACATTTTACAATTAATTACAAATGTTGTGTAGTTTCCTGCGCAGCTAGCTGATGAAGTGCCATGCTCCATTTGGCGTGTAAAGAAACTGGATTGGACACATTTTATTGAGGAAAAAAAAGCGAAATAAAAATACTGCGCTGACTTGATCAGAGCCAATCAACAGGCAATAGACTCTCATCTGGTATCGGGTCCCAACACAGAAGCTCACTCAGAAGTAATATCCACTATACAGGGACTGAGCAGGCAGACCGGAAAGAATAGAACCTCAACTCGTATGTTCCGGAGCCCTGCCCCTTCATCAGGCCCTGCCCCTTCATCAGACCCTGACCCAACATGTCCGATTAAAGTCTGTGTGCAGAGCTCCGTCGGACACAAATGAGGGAGTCAGGTAAGTATTCAATTAATGCTTCATGTCATAACAAATACAGTTTTGGGGTCACCCAGGGTTCCCTTCATCAGGCTTGAAATGACTGGTCTTTTTAAGCCTGATGAAGGGGACCCTGTGTGACCCCCGAAACATTATTTGTTATGGCATGAAGCGTCAATAAACAGGTGTGTTCTTCACATTAATATGGGGTGCTGGTGACATCTTTAAAGGGGAACTATGAGGTGAGTGATTTTCATTCAGCCTCATAGTTCGAGCCGACGTGTGACAATCAAACTGTCACACGTCGGCTCAATAGATTGGGAAGTGAGCGACCGCATACCATCGCTCGCTCACTTCTCGATCATTTCCCTGCAGAGAGCTGTGACTGTCAGTCATGGCTCCCCGCAGGGATTCCCCCGCCCCCGCTCCTCTAGCGCTGACTGGCGGAACGGATGGGGAAGGGGCCGGTTACAGCTGACTCTAGATAGGTAGAGCCAGCTGTCAATCACGCAGCTGGGTGAATCTCAACAGCAATGTCGGGATCCGTCCCGGCTGCGGTGGTCTCAGTATACCGTCTGCTGTAACTCGCAGTGTACTGAGCTTTGGGTGACGGGAGGATGCTAGTTTGTGTCCTCCCGAGATCCTTAGGAGAACTATGGGGAAAAAAAACTTACCCTATAGTTCTCCTTTAACAAGTTTCATTATTGGCGGTACCATCTGCGGTCACTTCGAGCACCCATGCTGACAGAGATACCCGGTAAGGAGTGCAGCAGGATTCTGGAATATAAGGTAAGTATTCATTACCCTCTCTCTCCATGGCTCCATCTAAAGTTTTATTAAGAGACATCCTGCCTAAAAGCAGGCAATCTCTGTTATGCTTGATCTTTATATAACCCAGAGTGCTCGGGGAAACCTTGCATTATTTGCCAAACAAGGATATATACAGTGTTGTACTGTTGTATGTTAAAACAACTCAAAAAATAATATAACACTGACCCATAATTTGCCGTTAAACTCTTCATCTTCGTGTGTATATTAGAACATTGGTCATTGCTATAAAACCATTAGGTTGGTGGTTTCTCCAAAAGATTGTATGGGACTCCTATAGTAAGAGACCCATTGCTGACCCACTTCTCAAATATTAGTTGCTTGGCTTATTGGCTTCAATACATACTGTGTCACTAACCTGGAACTAGCATGACTCTCATGAAGTCCAGGTTACTTACTCCAGGTCAGAAACTGACTGAAGCAATTGGATAAGCATGATGGATAGGCTGCTAGCTTTTTTTAGGACTAGCAATTGGCAATGGATGCCGTCATATTTTTTTTTTTTCTATAGGTTTCCTGTTCTTTACTGGACTGTAATGTGCAAGTGTGGTCCTTGGTTTTGTTTTTTTTTGTTGGCATATTCTGTGTTGCTAACAAGCTTTGTTATAAATTCTGTTGTACAAAGCTATAGAATAGAGTGGTGCTACATAAATAATGCATGACACTAATAAACTGTAGTGTAATACTTGTGTATGAAGTAGATTGAAGGAATTGACGCGCCACACCAATTAAAATAGTCCAGATACAACTTCATTACATCAGGGACTCGAGTAGCCAATGCATTTCGGGGGTCCGAAGCACACCACCTTCATCAGGGCTTAATGAGAGAAATCATTTATGTGGACCTACAATCTCTGCAGCTTGGGTTGTGATGGGAGTACTTCTGGGTTTGGTTGCCACATTGTTCTCATTGATGTAGGGTAATATCCAAAAAAGCAAAAGACTCACCACTCCAATCCCACCAAGCCTGCAGATCAATACAGACATCGAGTAATCTTCGAGTGCTCCCACTTGTCAAACAATATCTCTCCAATCAGCCACACGAAACCGAGGTCCATAAAAATCCAACTTTTGTTGTAACTTTCATGCAAAGTTCAAAATACAATAAGGGGAATTTATCAAAATCTGGAGCAGCTGTGCATGGTAACCAATCAGCTTCTATCTTTCATTTTGAAATCTTAACTGAGCAAACTGAAGAGAGAAGCTGATTGGTTGCCATGCTCCAGATTTTGTCTGCTCCAGTTTAGATAAATCCCCCCCCTAAGGTATACACCACCATAGTATCTCTCCCACTCAAACACCTCTCACACGTTTTACCACCTGGGCTTAATCATAGAGGTGATGATGGAATAGAGTTGTATCTGGATGATTTTATTTGATGGGGTGCTTCAATTCCCACACCTACTGTGCCCAGAATTCCGTGTAGATCCTTTGGGTTGCGGAATCTGCCTTCCCGATGGGTCACACGTATTCACATCATTGAACTACTGATGGATGAGAAGCGCCAAGAGAGAGGAACCACACGTGACCAGAGCTTTCTTTCCACTTCCAAAAATGTATTAGAACTGCCTGACGGCGTTCTTGTTTTCTGCAGGTTCAATGGACATCTGGAGTCATGCAGGACAGGAAGGTGTCCGCTTCGGCCCACAACCCGCAGGGGTTTCTGATCGAGAGTTCCAAAGATGGAAGTGGACAAATCAACTTCCAGACCAAGGAGACCGGTAAAAGAGTTAATTTTCTTCTTTTGCATACATGAGAACTGAATCTGGAGGCACCGATCTTGTGCTTGATGAAACTCAAAGTACCTTTATATTGTATGAAGCACATGAGATATAGCTGCAGGGCTGGTGTGTTCATCTTTGGCCATGTACCCTGTAGCCCAGGGGTAGCTAACCTTCAGCTGTGGTGAAACTACAAATTCCATCATGAATCTGCCTCTGGGAGTCATGACTGTGGCTGTCATTGTCTTGCAATGACCAGAGTGTTGGCTGCTGAGGGATCGGGCACCATCTAGCATTAAAAAAAAATAGCATTACTGTATATCAGGGGTAGGCAACTTTGACTAGATATGTAAGCTGCGGAAAAATTTGGTTCGGATATTTCGTTGTTTCGGATTCCATCCGCATTTTCATTTTGGATACGTTTACAAATATTCATTGCGAATACCACAGAAAACCATATACAGATATTAGTACTAAAGCTGAATCTCCTAGACCCGAATGGCATTCAGGATCCAAATTTCCAAATTGCATTCAGGAACTCCCGAATGCCACTCAGGTCTAGGAGCCTCAGCTTCAGTATTATATGTATATGGCTCCCAGACCCGAATGGCGTTCGGGAGCTCCTGAATGCAACTCGGAAATTCGGATCCCGAATGCCATTTGGGTCTGGGAGCCATATACATATATTACTAAAGCTGAGGCTCCTAGACCCAAGTGGCATTCGGGTGCTCCTGAATGCAATTCGGAAATTCGCATCCTGAATGCCATTCGGGTTTAGGAGCCTCGGCTTTAGTAATATATGTATATGGCTCCCAGACCCATATGGCATTCGGGATCTGAATTTCCGAGTTGCATTCAGGAGCTCCCGAATGCCATCCAGGTCTGGGAGCCATATAAATAGTGTATGTTACTAAAGCTGAGGCTCCCAGGCCCGAATGGCATTCGGGAGCTCCCCGAAATTCGGATTCGGACACATTGGAATGCTTTGGGATTCGGATATGTCCAAATTTCAGAAAATTCGTCATAATTTTGATTCTAAACGAATCGCACATGTCTAACCTTGACGCTCCAACTCCAGGAGGGGGGTCTATCGAGAGTTCCATCACACTTTTTTTTCTATTCCCAAAGTCCCGCTGTAGTCTGAAGCTGTCTACTCCATGCATAAACATGTACATTTACATGGACCAGGAGTGCATGTTTATGGTTGCTGCGTTTAGGGACATGTTTGTTCAATATTTCTTGACAGCTACAACATGTATGTAAGGGAATGTATTACCTGGTATATGGTGCAGAGTTTTCCACACTTTCTAGTCCAATTTATATTGAAGCATTTCCATCTCTCTGCTTACTCTCAGGGTTCTATCAGCTGTGTGTTAATAACTGGCAGAACAACTTCGGTTCAGTCCAGGTGTACCTAAACTTTGGGGTATTCCATGATGGGGAGGGACCTGAACACGAGCTTGAAAACCAAACAAAGAAGCTGAATGACACACTGGCTACCATTGAGGTGAGTTCTGCCTACCTTGGTTCCCTGCCGCCAGTCCATCCATTTCAACAAACATCTTCCCATAGGATTATGTGTGCATTTAATGTATGGTATGCATGTTATTTACCTGCAAAACCCTCCCCTGTGTAGACTTTAAAAGCTGCCGGGTCTCCACATCTTGGATGTGATGTCAGCAGCTTCACACAATGGACGGTGTTGTGTTTCAGAGGTGGATTGAAGTGGCACTGCAATGTGCCAACAGGCCCCCAACTTTCCTGATATTCAAATTCAGATCTGCTCTGTGTCTGTGACGTGGAAAGTATTAAAGAAGAACTCCGAGCTGAACAATTCACCCTTGCAGTGGGGCTAAGGGTTAACCGCTATTTTTAGTCTAGAAATACTCACCCGAACCTTGGAGTTGGCTGCTAGCCTAGTCCCCATAGCTTCTCTCCGACAATGGAAAGTCCTGTACACTGTATTAGACATAACTCACCTTAGAACGCCAGAGCGGAGGGGGAGAGAAGCTGTCTAGCAGCCCCCTGTGTTTGAGTATTTATTTGTTGCTTTAGCTCAGGGGTAGCCAAACTCCGGCCCTCCAGCTGTGGTGGAACTACAAATCCCTTGAGGCATTGGAAGATTCTCACAGCCACAGACATGACTCCTGGAGAGAGATGCATCATGGGGTTTGTAGTTTCACCACAGCTGGAGGGCTGGAGTTTGGCTACCCCTGTCCTAGATGAAAGATGGCACTTAACCCTTGCAGTGCAGGGGTCTGCCCCTCTGCAAGAGTTAATATTTCTTCTGCCCGGATTTCTTCTTTAAAGCCAAAGAGAAAAATCAGCATAAGAGCCAGGTAACTAATGTTTTCAGAAGGTCAACGTGGGTTTTTCTTTCTCTCATGTAAGGCTTAAGCTGGCCATACACCTATAGATTATCTGCAGATTTTCTATAGGTGTATGGCCAGCTTTTCTTGGAATGAAACTATAGTGCACTTTAAGATGTCTTTTTAAAACCTACAGGTTTTTTTTCTTTCTTAATACTGGCTAAATCTTAAATAACATTTCACATTTATCATTTGCCGCCAGCAGGGTTTTCTTTATACATGTTTTGTGCTATGGAAAAAACACAAACAAGGGGCGCCTTTCCTGGTGCAGACAAATTTATTAAGAACAAGATCAAAGGTAGATATAAAACATACTCACAAAGATCGGCATGATTATTGTATAAAAAGTAGGTGCATGGACCCAAGAGAAAGTCTATGAAAGCTGCACAGCCGTGTCTGTGTGTCAGCAGAGGAGACTGTATGATGACGCGTTTCTGGGGTCACGCCCCCTTCATCAGATGTCTGGGGGCGTGACCCTGGAAACACGTCATCATACATTCTCCTCTGCTGACACACAGACACGGCTGTGCAGCTTTCATAGACTTTCTCTTGGGTCCATGCACCTACTTTTTATACAATAATCATGCCGATCTTTGTGAGTATGTTTTATATCTACCTTTGATATGCTTTTTTGTTCATATCTGTAATGTTTTGTGCTATGTAAAGTCACATCCTTTGCGGTGGTTGCAATAATAGATATCTAGCAATCAGAAGAGGGACGCGCACGCACCCCCTAGATCCTCTGCTAGCAAAAACAGCAACATTAAAGGGCTAGTTCACCTTATCCTGAAAAATGAAAAGGTGAAATGACAACACTCCATTGCACTTTTCTGCTTAGATGACAACCTCCCATCACCCACCCCAGATGGTGTAATGGGCCCCACACATCAGAACTTCACTACACCACCCCGGTGGCTGAGCTGATCAATGATCGCACATTGCCAGTATTCTGATGCAACACAGAACATCGGGGCTGTGTGGTTAAGTCTTGAAGTGTGCGTCCCATTACACTGGCTGGTGCGGGTGGCACAAGGTTGTCATCTAAGTGCTCTAGGGAGCGGGAAAGGAGGGGGGGGCGTGCATTTTGTAGTCTAACCACTAATGTAGTGCTGGGCTGTCTTGGAAAGCCTGATCTGGTAAATATAGTGAATACAAATTGATTTATAAATTTGTAAACAGCCTAATGAATTATTTTCCCTTTCATAAATTGTTCGTGCATTGTCAGCATTTAAGAAGAAAAAAAACAGTGGATAGACTCCTGGCTACTTACAATTTTCTCTTTCAGACAAGTTCTCAGATCGTGCTTGGTCGCATCCTGCACATGTGGCGATATTATAACTTTGCCCGCATGAGGAGAGGCTCCGATTACTACAGATTGATGTCCAACTACCACTACGTGAACTGGTGGTCAGCTGGTACCAGCATCCTCATCGTGGTCTCAGGGGTCCTGCAGCTCTACTTCCTGAAGCGCCTGTTCAATGTCAAGTCCACCACAGAGACACAAAAGCCGCGGTGCTGACAGCAGACCTAGCTTGTAATCTGAGTCTGAGAGCCATAAGTATAGTAAAGTTTGACGCTATCGTCACTGAAAAGTCTATGGTTTAGAATCAATAGAACAGGGATAGACAACCTTGGCACTCCAGCTGTGGTGGAACTACAAGTCCCATGATGCATTTTGATTGGAAACCATGCCTGTGACTGTCAGAAGCATGATGGAATTTGTAGATCTTCCACAGCTGGAGGTCCAAATTTTGGCTGCCCCTGGTTTAGTCATTATGAGATTGTTCTTCATCAAGTGAAAGCGACACTAAACTCAGTGTAACCTTAAAAATGAATTCAACTACCCTAACTAGTAACAACAATGTATCTTTGTGTATCACTTGGCTGTAGATCTGCCAATCATCTCTGAATTGGTGCTGACACTGTTCTTCCTTCTGGAGGGTGGGCTACCTTTGTTCCCCATGGCCCCTGTATGTTGTAAAGTAGCTCTTGTGATGGACTACAATCTCACATTTACTTTACTAATTTGTATGGAGACTGTAGTCCAATAGTTAAGATACTTGAATGTGTTTTTAAGATTTCTCTTGAGTTGAGTGTCACATTAAGGCAGGGGTGGGGAAACCTCCGGCCCTCCAGCTGGGGGTTAAACTGCAATTCCCAAGATGCTTCTCTCTGCGAGTCATGCCTATTGCTGAGAATCTTGCAACGCCTCATGGGATTTGTAGTTTCCTCACCCCTGCTTTAAGGCAACCTTGGCACTCCAGCTGTGTTGAACCTACACTTCCTGTCAAGCCTGTGGCTGTCAGTCTCGTAATGCCTTATGGGATTTGCAGTTTATGCACAGCCAGAGTGTCAAGTTGCCCCACATGCTAGGAAAATGACTTTGATCATTTTATACAACTCTCTGTCCTACAAAGCCCAATTGTCAAGCCATGCTCGTGTTGAGTGGAACTGTGTATTTGTTGCACCGCTTGGAATAAAAAAAAAAAACTGACTTTAATCCGAATTCATTATTCTTCACCTTTCCCAAGAAACCTGTTAAAACTGAATATTCCCAATAAAAATTTTATAAATTAGTCTATTTCTACAATTGTTGGAACTCGAGCATCAGAGATACCTTTGCCGTTAAAGAACCTTGACGTCTTCAGAATTCTTATTTCATTCCGCATCAAGCACATCCATTGCCCTGTAGTCTCTAAATACATATATATTTGCTTGCTATTACATATTCATATTTTCAGGTGCATGTTGCACAGATTTTCCATTTCTCCTTCCCCTCTGAGTATGTCAGGCAGGGGGTATATGCGTGTTGGATTAATAATAAAACTTTTTTTAAATGCCGTTTGGCTTTAGGTTCCAAGGAAATGCAGAAGACATCCAGGCAGTAAGCGGCTGCCCCAAGGCTCATCATAAATACCTGTAAACTACATGATGTTCCTGAGGGCCAAGTCACACTGGTGATTTAGCTGCTACTGACACCTCACCAGCAACAAAACTACCAAAATCCAAACTGCTAAATTCTTTTATGAATTTCACTCCTTTATTGCCCAAAAAGCAGCAGAATTTCAGTTGTTGGGAGGGAGCGACACTGTCGCAGTGTGGTGACTGAAGGCGCAATGCCATAGAAGGTGAGCTTTAGCCAATATATTGCTAGGGACAATTTTGGTCTTATTAGAAGTAAATTTTTGCACCATTTACTTTGTGATTGGCCAGGAGAGGGCAGCAAAGATGTGACTGCAGCAATGAGGTCTGAGACCTGCAGTGCCAGAATGGTCACAAAAGCTCAGCTGGAGCTGGACCTGCACCCGCATGTATAGCTGACGACTTGTGGGGAGAAGAAGCCAGTACCGACTATAGCAGGTGAGTTTTTAGAGCAGACACTGCACAGCATACTGTACTCCAGTAAGATTATCCTGCCCATAGTTGGGGACCAGGAGCCATAATTCCCCATTCATTCTGTAGATGTGGAGATCCTGTTGGTTCAGATCATGAAAAGTAAACCTTCTGGGACAGCAGTAAATATGAAAAGTTTTCTCCTGTCGATTTTAATGCAACAGAAATGTTGGAAAACATATACAAAATAGAATTACTTATAGTCCATAAAAGAACTCTGAAGCGTGACCTCCAACAAGACCATGGTGTAGACAGAGCTTATACTGAACAAGTCTGCAGTGTCACCATATCTGTCCCCGTGGAAGTGACCGGACCCTCCGATTTAGAAAGTCTTTGGCAGGCCACTAACAGCAGTTTATGTGAGTGTGTCTTCATGCCTGATGTACTCGCCAATGTCAGCCTGGTGGATGACCACAATGGCCATCGGGTCTAGTTTACGGCACTCCTGAGTGGACTTTGCTGCTACACCGAAGCCCTGTATGGTGAAAGAAGTAGATTGAGTATAACGCCACCAAAATGTATACAAAACCTGAATATGTCTACAACACAGTTTCACCTAGAATGTCGTCATCTACTTAAAAGGAGAACTATGAGGTGAGTAAAAAATATCATTCATTCTCATAGTTCAAGCCGATGTGTGACAATGAGACTGTCACACGTCGGCTCAATAGATCAGGAAGTAAGCGAACACATACCGTCGCTCGCTCACTTCTCAATCATCTCCCTGCAGAGAGCCGTGACTAAGTGAGCTGCAGCTCACGATCTACTGAGCTTTGGGTCACAGGAGGAGGTTAGTATATGTCCTCCCGTGACCCTTAAGGGAGCTATGGGGAAAAAAACACTTACCCCATAGTTCTCTTTTGAGCTCGGGCCTGAACAGATAAAAAGAATCAGCCCTAAGAAATCTTTTTTTTTTTTTATGGGATTTTGCAATAAATAAATACACACACTCTAAAAAAAAAAAAAGTGCATTTTTTTTTTGACCTTACAAAGCACTGCACACAGGTGGGTGCAATGATCAGGCTCCTGCAGACTCTTCCTCCCAGCCCCTTTCTGTACTGAGGTATGGACTTTCAATGACAGCATGGGAGGAAGTGTCAATGAGACTACAAGAGTGGTGATGTCACAGCAATGGCAGAATGGACTTGTAGTCTGTCCATCCACAGATAGTATGAAAGGATCTGAGAATGGATCATTCTGCTGTGCGGTGCCCTGCCGATTTCAACAGATGTGGCAGGGAGAACAACCCCAGCAGTGGCCGTGACCATATTTTGGTTATACCCTGAATAGGGACAGGAACGTAGTCAGAAAGATGGAGTTACACTTTAAATATATACAAGACAAAAAACATTTATCCCACAGTCTACATATCACAAGACCAGACCTGCCCCAAAGCATTTCAGAAGATGTTACAATGCAGAAAATCATAGCGTATATAAAAGACAAATGGTCTTTATGAAGAGAATACAGTTAGTTGTGTTTGGCGCATACAGTGGAGTCATAATACAAGAAGAAATAGGTGCACTTGCAGACAACGCACAACACAAAAAAACACAGACAGTACAAACCTCCCGGACTTATCAAATAGTGATAACATGCTTCCAGTGGTATATTTAACAGCCCAAAACGGAGCAAATAAGTTCCTCGGTAGGGTTTGCCTACCCCTGCTCTGCCATAAGCAGGATCCATAAAATACCTGCGATAGGAATACAAAGAAGACGACTCACCAGCGGCACATCTGCCATGGAGTATACAACCACTCCCTGGTACTGTGCGGTGTTCTCAGTTATCCTTCCAAGCCCGGACTTCAGAACGTGGTTTCCATACAAGTAAGACTGCTCAGAGCCCGGCTTCACCCAGACCTTGTACTGTCAGATAAAAAATACATTGATCAGCATAGTCATACTGGATATCTTGGTGCCGTGCAGCCCTGCAGAGGATTATCAATAATTGACTGTAATCAATATTTTAACAGAGGTGGGTAGGTGTGGCCAGTCTAGGCACCCAAGAAATACAGATTAATAAAGTTTCTAAAATACAGAGCAAATTCAGGCCGGCTCATCAAGAAATTTGCTCCGTGGATGTCTGGCAGGCAGCAGCCTCCCGCCCGATATCCTTTGATGTAGAATGCAAGTGCCCGGACAGAAAATACTCAGCTGAAGGGTCAATGCAGCCAATCATACTGACAGTGTCGGGCACTTGCTGTAAGAATACAATAGCTGCAATGGAAGATTCGTCCATTGCGCTGTTTAGCGTGGATAAAAGGAATCCGTTTGATATTTTCCCGGTCAACCCACAGGCTGAAAGAAAGAAATCTGAGTAGCAGAGTTGTGTGCATCTGCTGAAATGAACGAACCAAAGCTTTGGCAGGTGAACACATGTATGCCAAGCTGAATGAGGAAGATATAACAGATTCCTCCATCAGCGCTTGATTGTGTGTATGGAGGAATCCCTTGCTGTTTTCATTGTATTCTGTCAGTATACCCGAATGGAGCTTGCAGCCAATTAGCCGCGGCCAAGAATTTTCGACCCTGCTCCTTTGATCACCTGATCAAACGATGTGGGCGGAAGGGTGCTGACAGCGGCACCCACTGTGCGGATTTTGATACATGTATAGCCTACTTAATAAGAGAACTATGGGGTAAGTGTTTTTCTCCATAGTTCTCTTAAGGGTCACGGGAGGACATCAACTAGCGTCCTCCCGTGAACCAAAGCTCAGTATATAAAAGTAATTCACCGGCACACACTTGAAGGGTTTTTAAAGTATTGATATGTTTATTCAATACCCGATGTCACATACTGTCATACGTTTCGGGTCCGCACAGGGATCCTTCATCAGAGCGACAGTGACAGTGCGAATAGGATTTGGACTTTGTTCCAAAGCTCAGTATATCGTGAGCTACACCCCTTGGTATACTTAGGATTCGTCCCGGCTGCGGCGGTCTAACAATGCTGTCGAGATCCACGCAGCTGTGTGAATGACAGCGGACTCTGCCTATGTAGAGGCAGAGCCAGCTGTACCCGCCCCCTCCCATCTGTTCCTCCAGCCAGTGCTAGAGGTTCGGAGCAGGGAGAGGGGGAATCCCTGCGGGCAGCCGTGACCAAAAGTCACCGCTCTCTGCAGGGAGATGATCGAGAAGTGAGCGAGCGACAGTATGCGTTCGCTCACTTCCCGATCTAGTGAGCCGACGTGCGACAGTGTCATTGTCCCACGTCGGCTCGAACTATGAGGATGAGTTATTTTCACTCATATCATAGTTCTCCTTCAAGTACAAATTTGGGCTGGCCATACACAGCTCCTATTTGGCACCACCTGGCTCAACAAACTATTTTAGTATTGAAGGAGTCAGGTGGAAATCTGTCGGCTGAACAGTGATGGTATCCAATCAGATGCAATCACTGTACGACAGGATCCCAGGAGCCAGTCAGCCAATGCTCCTTAAAAATGAAAGCTGGCATCTGACTTTTGAGGTTTTCTTTAGTTGTTCTTTAGTTGTTGTCAATGGAGCTGGCTACTAAAAAATCCTGCTGCTACAGCTTGCAGTATACCGAGACGCCACAGCTGAAGCGGATCCCGACAATTGTGCCGTGAGTGACAGCTGGCTCTGCCCATCTAGAGGCAGAGGCAGCTGTACCCGCCCCCTCCCCCGTCCGTTCCGCCAGTCAGCGCTGGAGGATAGGAGCGGGGAAGTGAGCGTACGCCGGTATGTGTTCGCTCACCTCCCGATCTACTGAGCCGACCTGTGACAGTCTCATTGTCACAGGTCGGCTAGAACTATGAGGTGAGTGAATAGCACTCAAAATCAGACTCAGTTCATATTATTTTGGTTCTCACTGGTGAACTCCAAGCACACCGATCACCAGCTTTGTGGTTAACAAGCAGTTACCTTCGCATACGGAGCCAGGTAATCCAAAGCTGTGATATGAAGTCGGAACTTCTGCATCTTGGTAAACTTTCCGAAACACGTCCCCAGAGACACCAGCTTGTCCCGTGCGATGTTTGTTGCCAACTTTAACATTTTTTCACTGGAAGACGAGACATTTAGATCATTACAGGTTCCGATTAAAGGACAAGTGTAACCGAACATTTTTTGTATTCCTTTAAAAGCCATAAAACTATTTTCCTTTTTAGCTAGTGTGACTACCCGAAATCTACCTTCATACAGAGCTGGTACCTGTGGCCGTGCCAAGTAGACAGATACCCAACATGCCAAGCTTAAAAATTGCGTGCACCCCTGAAACAGCGACACAGTACAATACCCCAAATTGTCTATAGTTGATGCTTTAAAAGCCTGTAAGGGTCATCAGTTTAAAGTTAACCCTGAATATTGGCACACAAGCCCCCTATGTGATAGTATATTAGTGGTGGCCGGTTCTCTTTAAGGTGACATTAGGAATCTATTAGACTCCTAGTGTCATCTTTTTACTTCAAGGAAGCTATTCAAGCACAGACTGCACTTAAAAAGCTTCTTCTCCATCCGGGGAATTATGCAATCAGTGTCAACTCCAACTCTATTCAGCAGGGAGGAGATTGGTGAATGTTCATTGGTGTCTCTCCCTGCTGACACTGGTGATGCCGAAACTCGGGCCCGCAGGAGGGACAGTGAAGCCTACGAAGCGGGGTGGGGTTAGGGGGGTATGGAGAGAGCATGGGGAAACCCTGTTCACCAGCCATGGAAGTGATCTGGCAGCAGATAAGCTGCCAGAATCACTGTGTAAAGCCGACAGTTAGCTTTACACAGCTAGACAGTCTGTTTACAGGGGCCCGTACGACATACATTGTTGGCAGAGAAAGGCTAAGTTTACGCTTTACACCATGTTTCACCCATATTCAGAGAGTAGCATAAAGGAAGGTAAGCAATGTGCTGCTGGTGGGGGACGCCATTAAGTGAGCCAGTTGCAGGATCACCAATTATGAAACAGCCAAATACAAGTCTTCATGCCATAAAATGTGTTTTCCAACGCTGGCCGTCTCACATGCACACAGAAATAATGATAGACGATTATAATTTCTCATACCTGACATAATACACACGTTCGTTGTGTAATCGGAAACAGTACGAACCATCAGGACGATCCACCAGCAGTTTTATGTTCTCTCCAATGCTGAAACGTAAAAAAAAGGAAAAATATTTATAATGCAAGAGGAAGCTGAAATAACTAACCGATCCTACAATGTCATCCCTACGGACTCCGGGGGGTAGAGTCATCCATATGGATCCCAGTTACACCTCCGGTGACCCAGCAGTCACCCCTATGGACCTAACACAGTGAACCCTACAGACCCCACACAATAGTCATCCATATGGATCCCACTGACACCTCCAGGGACCCTGCATAATTTCTGTGGACCCCACAGTGACACCTCCAGGGACCACACACACCACAGTCATCCCTATGGACCCCACAGTAGCCATCCCTATGGACCCCGCAGGGACACCTCCAGGGGTCTTCACACACCACAGTCATCCCTATGGACCCCACAGTGACACCTCCAGGGGCCTTCACACACCAGTCAGCCCTATGGACCCCCACAGGGACAACTCCAGGGGTCTCCACACACCAGTCATCCCTATGGACACCACAGCAACACCTCCAGGGGTCTCCACACACACCAGTCATCCCTATGGACACCACAGCGACTCCTCAAGGGAGGTCTAGAACAGTCATCTCCATGGACCCTAGAGTGACAACTCCAAGCACCCTGCACAGAAACCCCTGTGGACCCCGCAATGACACCTTTAGTGATCCTGCACAGTGACCCCCTATGTACCCTACGCATTCATCCCTATGGAAACCTCAGTGACACGGAGAACCAGCACAGTTGCCTCCTCAATCACGTTCCCACACAGTCAGCCACAGCACTGCCGCTCCTTGCTGTCTATCAGAACAAATCCGAATGTCAGCTCTCCTCCACCCTCCTCGGCGATGAGGTGTGATCGGTGCACACCCCGCACTCACTATTTGGAGAGTTTCTCGAACATAGTCCTCGTCTCCTCATCAGTGAGCGGCCTCATTTCTGCTCCACGTGAACCACACACACAGCTAGGACACTGCCTGATGACGTCAACAGTATGAGACAAGCCAATTTGTGGGAGGAACCATGCATCGTCTGCAGGCCGTACGGATCATAGCATGTTATACCTCAATGTATCCAGCAGAGGGCAGCAGAGAGACGCCATCCTGCTGATATACAGGTGAAACTCGAATAATTAGAATATCGTGCAAAAGTAATTGCAGTAAGTGCTGCAAAAGGGGCCCAAACCAAGTACTGAGTACATATGCATGCTTGTACTTTTCAGAGGTCCGATATTGTTCTATGTACTATCCTTGTTTTATTGATTGCATGTAATAATCGACTTTTTTGAGGTTGTGGATTTGGGGTTCTTGGGGTTTTCATGAGCTGTAAGCCATAATCATCACAATTACGACAAATCACGGCTTGAACTATCTTGCTTTGCATGTAATGAGTCTCATATATTAATTTCACCTTTTAAGTTGCATTAGTGAAATAAATGAACTTTGCACGATATTCTAATTATTCGAGTTTCACCTGTAGATTAGCTATATATGGGTTCTTCATCCCCGCGCTCAGAACTCTCTTCTGCACATCCGCAGTGGCCGTCACTGCTCCAAAAGATGTATTCCCACCCTGGCGGTGCTTCACGAGGTACCTGGGGCCTTACCGACTTGCGTGGCTACAGAGGGTGCATGAAGGAGCTGCAGTATGAGAGTGTGGAAGGTTATGTTGCCAGGCTGTTTAGGTGCAGAGCAGCAGGTCAATGGGTAACGTGCATTACGACATTCAATAGCATGCGTTATGCATTCATGTGACTGGACAGCCTAATGCATGGAATGTGCATATAATAGTCTTTGCAATGCAGCGCATGGCCATGCATCTTAGAACAACAGTGCAAACCCAGCCAAAACCTTTAGAGATGCCCCCCACCACCGCCATAGTGCTATATGCAGTAACAGGCCCTTCACCCCTATGGATGTGCATAGGCTTGGTGCAAACCAAGCTGGCCCAGCCCATGCAAGACTGTAAGTGACCCCCCTCCCAATCAGTTGCGGCCATGGCATTCCCTTATGTGTAGCTGCATGACAGCCGCAGCTGATTGGAGGGGAGGGGTGTCACTGAGAGCCTGCACATCCCTATTCACCTTCCCTCCCCTGCATTCTGAAGTAATGAGCTTCATGTTCTCTTGATATTCGGGAAATAGTTTTACATCTTTTTATGTATTTTAAATACATTTCAGAAGAAATGAATAAAGGCACGCATGTTAAAAAGAGAACAAAATGCATTTATTAATTTTTTTTCCTGCATTGGTGCCTGTAGAGCATTGCAGCTGCCATCAGTGCAATGCTCTGGCTCCTGCAGACGCTTCCTCTCCGGCTCCTGTCCCTACTGAGGTACAGACCTTCCATTCTGGGAGCGGAGGGAGTCATCGACGGATTGCAAGCTTTTTTCTTTTGCAGGTCCTGAAAATGGATGTGTGGAGGAATGACGCGGCTGTGTGGGCAGCCGCACCGTATTCAAATGAATACAGAATCCTGCAGGGGAGGCAAAAGTGATCTATGAGTCCCTGTGCTGCGGTGGTGCAGATCCCTGTGAATGGACTACATAGCTGTGTGGGCGGAGCCATGCAGAGCCACATTCAATTTTAAGAATAACACAGTCCATCACAAGAGCGTCTTCTTTCCAGATTTCGGCTGCTCTGTGTTCCCCGGGATCTCGCAGGAAGGTGACATTGCGCAGGCACAGTGGGCGAATGTCCAGGATAAGGTATAAATTAATGTTTTTCTTTTACAGGTAAATTTTTTTGCATTTGGTAACATCAGATGAGGGTGGAGGGTAGACATGGCCAAAAATTTTGTTTCGATTCGGATATTTTTTTTTTCATTTTCTTAAATTGAGATCCGTTTATATTCATGAGAAAGAAAGAAAAAATCCCCATTGCCCGCCGCTACGCCCGCAGCTGCCACTAATGACAGCACCACTCCTGAATGTAAACAAAGAGGCGGAGCAAGTCCATCACAGTGACGTTAAGGACTCCGCAACTGCTCCAGATGTATAATTTCATGCTACATCTGTCTTATCTCCACCCACTCTTCTCTTCCTCCACTGACATCAGTCTGAGCCTTTAGTTAGGAACCTCCTGGTCTCCATGGAAAGGCTGCTCATTGTCCTTGGTTTGGCCTCACAGGCAGCCGTAGCTGGTCTCCATGGAAAAGCTGCTCACTGGATTGGCCTCATAGGCCGCTGTAGCTGCTCTCCATGGAATTGATGCCCACTGTCCTGGTTTGGCCTCTCAGGCCGCCATTGGTGGTCTCCATGGAAATGGTGCCCACTGTCCTAATTTGGCCTTACAGGCAGCCGTAGCTGGTCTCCATGGAAACGCTGCTCACTGTATTGGCCTCACAGTCTGTTGTAGCTGCTCTCCATGGAATTGATGCCCACTGTCCTGGTTTGGCGTCACAGGCCGCCATAGCTGGTATTCATGGAATGGTGCCCACTGTCCTGGTTTGGCGTCACAGGCCGCCATAGCTGGTCTCCATGGAATGGTGCCCACTGTCCTAATTTGGCCTTACAGGCAGCCGTAGCTGGTCTCTTTGGAAACGCTGCTCACTGGATTGGCCTCACAGGCCGCTGTAGCTGCTCTCCATGGAATTAATGCCCACGGTCCTGGTTTGGCCTCACAGGCCACCGTAGCTGGTCTCCATGGAGACGGGAACTTCAGAGATGCAGAAGAATGGCTCCTCTTTGTGTACAGGAGGTCTGTAGAGGAGTGACAAAAATCTCTCAGGTCACTTGCCAAGCGGCCATATTGCGGAAGGGGTTATGTCACAAATCTAGAGGGGTGTTGAGCTCCAGTTACTTCAAACATCCCATGACCAAACTGCCAAATACAAGGTAAGTTGTCACCCCACAGACACCCCATTGTGAGTGTTATATGTTGTGTCCTCACAGGGCCACAGACAGCTTTTCATTTATAATATTTTGTGTGAGGAAATCCTAAAGCAGCTATAGGCCAACCCCGGCCCTCCAGCTGTGGTAAAACTACAAATCCCATGAGGATCGATCTCTCTCTGAAATAAACAGAAGGTGACATGTTTTAGGTCCAGGCTCGGTGACAACTATGGCTTCCGCTATAGCTACAGTAGTGGAGAGAGCGTAGCCACGCAGGGACAAGAAGTGTGTTATTCGCAGTATCACCACCAGGTGCAGATAAATCCCTGTCTGCTTTTCAGTGCTAAATCTGTCACGGCTTTGCAAAATCATTGCACAAAGGATTGCCACGGGTGTTTTTCTAAATTAGAAACTGATTTGCCATTGTTGTGCTCCTCATTGCTAGATAACGCTCCCTCATTGACTGTGCAGTGATATATAGTACCATAGGTATAGTAATAATGATGGGGATTTGTCTTGTAGGATCTTCAATGTGTGACTATGGAGGAGAGCACACGGCTTCTGTATCACAATGCCGCCCAACACAAGATATCGGTAGGTGATCTACGTGTCGTAAAGCAAATTATTATTTCTTTAAAGTGAGTGTTCATTTAGCAAAACAAAAGTGCTGACTGATGGATATTACATGCGGGCACGTAGAGGTACCTATACCAAGGGTGGACTAATTCATCCGGAATTCAGGAGCCAGTCTGCCCAATCCAGGAGCCAGCAGGATTCTTTTAGGAGCCGGCTCCATTAACAGCAATTAAGGTGCCCATACACTGCTCGATTCTCGTACGAGAATCGCGGGAAATCCCGTGATCGTACGAGAATCGAGCAGTGTGAATGAAGACGTGCGACCGTTTCTACTGTACGGTCGCACGTCTTTTGTCTAGGGAGCACACTGAAAACCAGCCGAAAATCGTACGATTTTCGGCTGGTTTGAACGGTGCTCGGCAGACAGATGCCGAACGGGCCGGTGTGCGCACCCGCACACTGCCCGTTCAGCATTGCGGTCATCGGAAGCCCGCCCTTCAGGGGGGCTGGCTTGCAATGATCGAGAGTACGATCTGCCTGTCCAAGATGGGCAGATCGTACGTTTTTTTAAGTACTTTACAACCATCGCAAGACCAAGGTCTTGCGATGGTTGTAAAGTGTATGGCCACCTTTAGAGAAAACCTCAAAAGTGAGGCACCAGCTGTAATTTATACGGAGCATTGGCTTCTGGGATTGGTCCGGCCCTGACTATACATTGCTCCAGCACCTTCCACTCCACCCCAATCCTGGGCTGTTCACATTTTCCATACGTCAACACTTTCCTTTTAAGACCCCTGGCACCCGAGGCAAGGATGCCAAAGTGTGTCCCCCACCAACTCTTAAATTCGGCATTACAAAAACTAACAGATATTTAAAACAATTATATACAAGTAGTAAGACTCTAAGGAAATAAAGGAGTGAAATAATTAGGATTCACTGTATGTTTTAGGGTTAAGTATACTAATTAGGGAAAACGAAACATTTTATTCAGTGATTTGCCCCTTTTTTTTAACAGTATATAGGAATTGGAATCATGTTTTTAGTACAAAGACTTTTTTTTTGTTCAATTCGGTGCTGCAAACGCATGTTTGAAAAGTTTATATACAATCAAAATCAGGGATGCACCAATACAGGTTTTTTGGTATCCAGTATGAGTACCGATATTTATATTTTGGTACTCGCCGATACCGAGTACGGATACTTCTGGTAGCATGGAACCAGCTTCACGGCCAATCAGCATTGAGCCAGCCACACAGCATGGAGGCAGTTCCCCGGCCAATTAGGAAACCGGCTCCATGTTCCCTCGCAGCACTGCCGGTCAGAGAAAATCTCCCTCTGACCAGAGCTTAAGAGCGCTCACTGCTGTCTTGGGTTTGCATCTGCAGGTCTACGTATTCTTTGAAGCACACCTGTACTACTGAAAACCCTGCCTCTCCCGAGGAAGTATGAATGTGAAACGTGTTGAGAATTAGGACCCTCGCTGAACTCTATCTTCAATATTTTGGAACATCTACATTTTTGAAGAAACAATTTGTTGGATAACATTATGGAGGAATATTTGATATCGTTCATA